CCCTCTTCTCTTCCCCTCCCAGGTGGGTTAGCTTTAACTTCCTCACTCCCAAGCTCCAAGGGCCCTTCCTTTGTCTCTGTAACTTGCTTCCTAAGCTTGTTTATCCAAGGAATTACTTCTTCTACCTCTGTAATTTTACCAAATAAATATTCTCTTACAGTTTGGGTCTTGACTCTGAGTTCTTTCCTAACCCGAACTTAAGTACCAAAGTTGCTGAACCCAAGTCCAGTCCGACCCCACGGGACTAACACCCAGGACTGTCCCTGCCACCTACAACAGATACACTGTCGAAGAAATTATGTAATTTGGAAAATTTTACCTTAAGTTGGGAGGAATATATTACTTTTAAATAACTTGGTACCATTTTATTTGCAATAAATATAAACTTTTAATATCCATTTTGAATCTGGATGTATAAGTTTTCGAGAGGGGGATACCTTTGTGATCCTGAGGACACGATGAGCTACATTTTAGATTAGGAAGCACAAGATTCTAACTATAATCTTTATTTTTGTCAAGTGGGACTTGTATATTAAAGCAAATGTTGCTCTGCCCTGTTAATATTTTTAAAAAGGTCAAAGACTGCTGCCTGTCCTTTCCCTTTAGTGACTTTAAATAACATGACTTGCTTAAAGCAAGCACCCAAGTAAGTATCTGCTAATCCTTACAAGGCACCAAAATCAGGAGGAGACCCTGCTGGTCCCCTCTAGAGAGGTTCTTGGGAGACTAGGCCAGACGGTGGGAGGCTCTGTATTATGCCTCAGTGCTGCTTTTATTCCCAGCCTTGCCCTTGACTCTCCCTTTCCTTGGTGATGGTGAGGTGACAGCTGAAATTCACTGTGCGTTTCCCCTGTTGGGTTGGGCTCTGTTCTAACTGCTTTCAGGCGTCATCTTGCAGCACCCTCAAAACAACGCTGGTAAGTCATGCTGTGGTCTGAAGGCCCATGTCCCCCCAAAGTCCTATGTTGAAATTCAGTGCTCAGTGAGATGCTATTAGGAGGTGAGGTCTTTGGGGGGTGATTAGGTCAAGGGGTGGAGCCTCATGATGGGATTATTGGTCTTCTAAAAAAAAAAAAAAAAGCCCCTGAGAGCTCCCTCCCTTCATCTGACAGGATGCCGAAAGATGGCCGGCGGGCTGTGGCCCAGGAAGCTGGCCCTCCTTACCAGCAGCTCGGGCTGCCAGCACCTTGGCCTTGGACCTCCCAGGCTCCAGAACTGTGAGGTATACATTTCTGTTGTTTATAAGCCACCCGGTTGACGGTATTTTGTAGTAACAGCCAGAACAGACTAAGTCTGTTTTATCATTCTAGTTACAGCCAGGAAAGCTGGGGCCCGGAGATACTAAGATCACACAGCAAGTGACAGCCTAGGCCTTGACTCTCAGCCAGCTATCTGCCTCCAGGACACATTCTTTTATTCCTTTTTAAAAGTTGAAGTATAACTGACAGTATATTAGTTTCAGGTGTAAGATGTAATGATTCGATATTTGTATATATTGTGAAATGATCACAGTAAGTCTAGTTAACATCCACTACCTTACAGCTACAGATTTTTTTCTTTCTTGTGATAACTCTTAAGATCTACTCTTAGCAACTTGCAAATATGCAATACAGTATTAACTATAACTACCAGGCTGTACGTTACATCCCTACGACATATTTGTCTTACAGAGATTGGTACTTTTGAGCGCCTTCACAAATTTCCCTTGCCTCCTACCCCCCACCTCTGGCAATCACCAATCTTCTCTGTATCTAAAAGCTAAGTTTAGGGGGGCATTTTTTAAGAATCCACATATAAGTGAAATCATATGGTATGTTGCCCTCAAGGTCCATAAATATTGTGAATTGTGAGATCTTTCTTTTTAATGGCCAAATAATATTCAATTGTGTGTACATGTGATATATGTATGATATGATATGATATGATATGATATGATATGATATGATATGATATATAAAGGGTATCCCAAGACAATGCATACACACTTTGAATAATTATAAAGGCAGTGTTTGTACTTCAACTGCATTTTCAAACTTCCAGTAGCATTTTAGGATGAATTTCTTATTCAAAGCTGAGTCTGGCTGAAAATAAACATCAGTTGAGCTATCAGCTGTTAAAGTGTGTACATGTTTGGGGACACCCTTGTACAGCATGTTCTCTTTATCCACTCATCTGTCCGTGGACACTTAAGTTGCTGCCATATCTTGGCTATTGTGAATAATGCTGCAATGAACAGGGGTGCAGGTATCTTTTCAAGGACAACCATTCTTGATCACCACGCATGGCTTTGGTCATCATAAATGACCCATAGTACAAGTCCCACAGTCACTGCAGAGTTGAGGCATGAAATGTGCATCTTCTCCCTTTAGCTAGGGAAGAATAACTCCGGTAGAGGACAAACCATATTGGTGACAGTACAGAATTGGTAACTATATTCAAAAACACTTGCCGCCCTGGACGAGCACAAGGCTGTAGGAATCCTAGCATGTACCTACCATTTCATTCACTGACTGTCCTCTGTAGGGCTGAGGTAGGGCTGCACCTTTCGCCTTTCGGCATGCCCACGAGGATGCAGGGAGCGCGATCACTCAGTGAGTGGATTTCAACTAGGTAATTACTAGGAATTCTCCATGTTAACATACAACCCAGTTCACCCCCCCACCTCGTTTGCTAATACTTAGCCCAATGTACAGTAGTTTGTTCTGATTCCCAGTAGTGCTGTTTCCACAGACAACAGACTGTTTCAAGCCCTGGAGAATACTCAAAATGAATTACAAGTTATAAATGATACCTCCTATCAGGGCAGAGAAGTATTGATCCAAACAACTCCAAAAGCTAGCAGGCTGGTCTTTTCCAGGAGCGGTGGGTGTATAAACTGTTGATCTTGTCATCAGGTTTGCTTGACAGTTTACTTTAGAGGTTGTTTTTCTCAAGAAATACTATAGCCCAGCCCTAGCCGGTTTGGCTCAGTGGTTAGAGTGTCGGCCTGCAGACTGAAGAGTCCCGGGTTCAATTCCAGCCAAGGGCACGTACCTCGGTTGCAGGCTTGATTCCCAGCCCCAGCAGGGGCGGCAACCAATCGATGTGTCTCTCACATCAATGTTTCTCTCTCTCCCTTCCACTCTCTCTGAAAAGCAATGGGAAAAATAACCTCGGGTGAAGATAAAAAAAAGAAAATAGCATAGCCCTGTAAAAGGGGTACCTGCCTATGGCTCAGTTTCCAGTTACAACACGGTTTCCTATGCCTTATCCTGCACTTATAAAAAAAATGCCAACAGTAATGATTTTCCTTAGTACAGGCATACCTTGTTTTATTGCAATTTATTTTATTGAGCTCCGCTGGTGTTGCTTTTTTTTATAAATTGAAGGCAAGACCCTCTCCCAGCAAAAATATCACGATTTGCTTTATTGTGATACTTGTTTACTATGATGGTTGGGAACCAAGCCCGCAGTATCTCCAAGGTGTGCCTGCAAAAATATGATTAGCAGATGAGAAGATGGCTGCCTCTAGCAGGGAGACTGCAGCCATACTTCTGTAAAGGTTGGAAGAAATGATTGTCAGTATAAAGTTACTCTTAAGAAATTTTGAAAACCTGTTAACTATCAACTTTATTTTATTTTAAAATATACAAATATTAAATGTAGGAGAGCTTAAGTTTGTTACATTTAAAAAACTCCATGCAAAGCTGTCACAACAAAGAAATTAATACCAAATTAATCACCCCAGACTGTTAATTCCATCTACTAGTTTAACAACTCAGTATTTAGAAGTGAAAGGAGTTAATATTATCAACTCAAAAAACAAACCCCACAGTCATCTGTAACATGCTGCTCTGAGAGGAACAACAAGTTTATGGATTACTGGTACCAAGAACTTCAATGGCAAACTTAGAGCTCTCTTAAAAAAATCTGAACTGAAAAAAGGAGTTGATGCACACACTGTACAGTTGGGAAAAATACTCTCGTGTATTCTAACACTCAACAAAATAGAATCATCTTTAGAGAGGGACCATTGCTAACACTGCACCTTGAGCCAGACCTTCAAGGTTCAGATTGGGCCGGCTCAGGGAAGGCTTCAGGCCGAAGGAACAGGACTCCAAAGTGGGTAACTTGTCACACACCAGGGACAATGAGACCTGCTTGTTGGGAGCAGTTACATATCAGAACAATGGGAATGAAAATGAAAATTAAGAAGTTAAAACACATATTCTAATGCACATGCACCATCAGATCATGGGGGAGTTGAAATTATTCTAGAACAAGGTCCAGTCTGAAAAACTCATGAGAGCATGGAGAGCCAAGACACATATTAGTTTTGCTGAGAGCATTTCCAGTGTAAACCTTAACATTTTCTTCAGGGGTCACTACTATATCATAGGGAATTTAGAAATGCTGGGGACTCTTTAAAAAGCACAACTGAAGAGCTTTAATGAAAATATTTGACCAGGTCAAAGCTCCTGAGCACCATATGGGTTTGCAGGTCTATATCTTGTCAAGTATTTCAAGAGAAAACAGAAAGAAAAGCAGTGGCTCTCCTCATATTTTAAGAAAAGTGGTTTTCCAGAGGTTGTTCAGACTTTTCTAGATTAAATACACAGGCAATACTGCAGTTAAAGGGAAAACGAAGGGACTGCTTCCCACTTAAGCTAAGTGGGAAGGAAACTTAAAATGATCTGCCATCAACTGTAGTATGAAAACAAAGCTGAAAAGAACACGTACAGGCTGTCCTTCGCTAAGTGAAGTTTAAGGTCATTACCTGCTTAACCTTCCCAATACATCATGAGTGCAATTCAATTTGGGGAAAATAGTTTAACGTATCCCTCAGAAAAAAAATAGTTGATATTTTCCCATCTCTAACAAAACAGTGGTTATAGTGGTTATGAGGTCCAGCGCCACCAGGCGACCTTCATCCTGTCCCACACCGCCGAAAGTGAATCGAAAGCAGGCCGGACGTCCAGGATGGTGAACTGGTACTCCTGGTTGACCTCACCACCATCATAGTAGTCAATGATGTATCTGACTTCCGTCCCACAACGGTTGATGATCCAGTCGTGCCTGTCGAAAGGCAGCTCATACCTGGAATGAAGACATTCCGATGAGTGTTAACCTGCTCCCCTCCCTGTACCCCCAGCCCTGGAAAAGAAGTGAGAAAGGTGGAGAAGTGGCGTGTGGCAAGGCCTGCTCTCAGAGCCTAACTTCTAACTGGGGAAGTGAGACTCAGAATCACAGCCTAAAACACCGAAGGAAGGTGGTGCTACAGATCTGTGATGAGCCCAGGTCAGACACCAGCCAGTCTGTCTACAAAGGAATAAGGTCCACAGGAAAGAGAGCCAGCCTGGCCTGGCAGGTGTGGCTCAGTATTGAGCACCATCCCATGCACCACGAGGTCACCAGTTTAATTCCTGGTCTGGGCACATGCCTGGGCTCGATCCCCAGTAAGGGGGCGTGCAGGAGGCAGCTGATGGATGTTTTTCTCTCATCATTGATGTTTCCCTCTCCCTCTCCCTCTCCCTTTCCCTTCCTCTCTACCTAAATATCAATAAAGACACCCCCCCCCC